CCGTTAGTAGCCCAGACATTATTACCCCATTTTACAGATGAGGAAACTGAGGCCTAAAAAATTTAAAATAACACAACTAAAAAGTGGTGGAGATGGATAAGAACTCTGGTCTGTTTTCACAAACCATTGTGCTGGTCTGTGAACACGGTTAGATTGGAGAGGGAAAAATGGCAGTTTTAAGAGGTAACAGTGGCTATAAGTTTCCAGAAGGTATAAGAAGGGGGGAATTACAAATAATATAAATGGAAGGGTTAACCTTGTAAAGATTATGCTAACTTTTTCTTCTGAGGGCAGAAGAGGAAGAAGTAAAAGTAGAGAGGAATTTGGAGGTGATTTTGCATTGATCTCCTCAGAGGAACAGAGGAAGCACTGCAGGGTCTTGAGTACTTCGAGATTGTCCCTGAAGTAGAAGGCTGGGTCATCTGGTGGAGTCAAGAGCTGAGGGGTTTCAGAGACTGGAAAAAGATTAGGGTGGCAACAGGGAATTGACTCATGCAAGCGAGGCCCAGATGTTGCTAGAAAGCATGGTTTTTATTGAGGTGGTAGTCAGAACGGTTACGTTGTCCTCTCTAAGTGTCTATGGGCACCAAAGAGCTGCCGTCCAAAGTCTGTTGGGGTTGAGACTAGAGACAAGTAAAGCTGACAAAGAGAGGGTGATGGCTTCAGAGAAGAGACCTCAGTGAGGAGGAGGCTCAGGCAGTAGCAGAAACTGAGATGGAAGATGAAGGGGTCAGAGGAGTGAGAGCCTCAGTTTACCTCCGGGTAAAGATCATAGAGCTCATTGCTCTATTCTCATAATCTTCCCTGGAAGAAAAGTGTGCCTTTCCCCCTAATGAAGAGATGTATCTCTGCGATGTTAACATGCTTACTTTACAGTTATAGTTTTGATGTTGTCTTACTGCACTTTCTACAGGCATCGTTTTATACCAGTTAGCGAGTACCTGTGTGCCTACTTTGCCATGCTCATGGCTGTGTGTTTGTGCTTCTCTTCTCTAAGCTTTCGAGGATGCGGACCTCAGCTTAGTGGTCCCGTCAGCTCTCTTTGCTGCCGTGGGGACAGCCGGCCAGAGGTGTACCACCGCGAGGCGACTGGTGAGTGTTGTCCTGCTCTTCAAGCCCCACTTTCTTACAAATTCTGTTAGGGAAGTGTCATAGAAGTACTGCTAGGAAAATGTGTTCCCGAGATGTGCTTTGAAAATATTTGGCCCTGCTACTGTCTTGTGGGTGCGTAGCTGATGTTGTTAGTTAACTGGAGACTCTGCTTTTTCTACCACCCCAACCTAAAATTGGTCTCACTACCAGTTGATTGGGGTTGGACTGGGAGGTGAGACCTGTTTTCAGTCCTGCTCCTAGAACAATATGGACAAAGTCCATAATATGTCACTTAGAGAATAAAACCAGCTAAAACTTTGAAAAATTCTAAAACTGTTGGCTAAAAGATAGGCAGCTTATGCTTTTTTATAAAAACATTTTAAATAATAAAACATTTTAAAGATTTCAATTTTTGGTCTCTTAAATCAAGTCTTAAATTTGACTTGATGTGACATGGTTTACTGAAAAGGAAGTGACTCTATGTATGTGTGCGTTCTCTATAAATAGTCTGCATACATATAGATAAGACAGATTAGTGTTAAGTGTATATAAGGAGATGTGGTTTAGCTTCAGAGTGGAGTTTGGGAAGTTTAGTCCCCCCACACTTAGATTGAGCTGGATTTCAGTTTAGTGTGAGGTACAACATTGATTTTCATGACTCTACAGTACTGAAAAACTATACTGTAAGCAAATTTTGATTAAGTACAAAATTTGGCTACATTTGTCTTTTATTATTATTGAGTTTAACTTTTGTAATTAAAAGACAGTCTATTCTTGGATTGCAAGGAATTAGCTTCAGGTCTTTTCTCTTACCCATATTGAGTATGAACAAAGTCTTTATAATGTTGACGTTATCTAAATTAATTAGAATAAGATAAAAGATATATGAAAACTCAGTCTTTACCCTTCTCAGACTTTTCACATTTTTTCCTTGTGTTTTGCAACAAATAAAAATCAGTCTTTATTTTTACATTAATCAGTTGAAAGTCCTCAAAAACTGCAAGATGCAGTATTCTTAGTGTTTACAATTTATTAAATTTATTCACTTTAAACATGTATTACATTAAAGCTAAGAAGGAAACAAGGGTACCCTAAATGATTATACCCTTAAGTACATGGTAAAATATGAAATGGTATGTGTTTCTCTATTCAACCAACTTTTATTTTTCCTTTGAGTCTTGCAGCAAGTACACATAGCCAAGCTTTATATTTAGTGTTAAATATTAAAGGATACTATTAGTCATTGCCCAAATCAATTTCTATACAGTTAGCAGTATGTAGGAAAAAAATATTCATTACTATGGATCTCTCTATGACTAGTGCTCATAATGTCAATGTATTCCTCACGTGGAGAGCCATCCAGAGAGTGGGTGGTTGGGAAAGTTCACTTCCACCACTGGGAGCATAGCAGGGAGCTCACATCCTACCCAGAGTGAGTACAAAGATTGTGCTCCCTGATTAAGGCCTCACTCTGGAGACCTACGTGTTCTGAGGCTAAGTGCATGTGGTTATGCAGCAGAGATGGCTTGACCAAACTGATGTGGTATGTGTTCATTGAGACTTACACTTATACTTGATGTTCTCTGCTAATTAAGATGTCAAATGCTTTAGAACAGAAACAGGAATGATGGGGCCGGTCCTGTGGCGCACTCAGGAGAGTGCGGTGCTGGGAGCGCAGCGACGCTCCCGCCGCAGATTCAGATCCTATGTAGGAATGGTCGGTGCACTCACTGGCTGAGCGCAGTGCGGGCGACACCAAGCCAAGGGTTGCGATTCCCTTACCAGTCACGAAAAAGACACACACACACACGAAACAGGAATGATGGATTTGTGCACTCACTGGCTAAGCGCAGTACAGGCGACACCAAGCCAAGGGTTGCGATTCCCTTACCAGTCACGAAAAAGACACACACACACACACACACACACACACGAAACAGGAATGATGGATTTGTGCACTCACTGGCTAAGCGCAGTGCAGGCGACACCAAGCCAAGGGTTGCGATTCCCTTACCAGTCACGAAAAAGACACACACACACACACAGACACACATACATTAAGGGTTGCGATTCCCTTACCAGTCACGAAAAAGACACACACACACACACACACACACACACACACACATACATACACACACACACACGAAACAGGAATGATGGATTTGTGAAACTTAGCCAAATAAGTCCTTAGCAATTTGGTACAGACCTGGCTTATGATTTTATTCTGACATCCACCTAGAGGAAATTATTATCTTCATGTAGTTAATATTAAAATTAGAAATTAGGGGCTGGCCGGTTAGTTCAGTGGTTAAAGTACAACCTTGTAATGACAAGCTCAAGGGTTTGGTTCCCCATACCAGCCAGCCACCAATAAGTAAATAAATAAATAAAATTAGAAATCATGTAATTAAAAAACAAACATGCTTCTATTTGTTTATGTTTTCAGAGATTACAATATTTCAATAACTATTAAGAACTCTTAATTAGTACTATTAAGAAAAATTGTACATTGTTAAAAAATTTGTGCATTTATTTTACATTTCCTTCTATGTTTTTCTTTTTTCACTTAGTTTTTACATGAAAGCATCTATGATGAAGTTGTAAATAGACTTAAAAAGGCCTATGCACAGATCCGTGTTGGGAACCCATGGGACTGTGAGTGTCTGGTTCTGTTTCAAAGATTTTCCTTTTTGACAGCTAGTGTTACAAGTGTTTCTGATCTTCTAAATTTGGGGGGTTTCCGCCTCTTTCCTGAGGGCACATGAAGCAGGTTATTGGGCATTTGGGGTGACACATCTGCTCCTAGGTTAGGATCCTTGGTGCTTGGTGTGGGCTGGTGGGTGGGACTGGGAGGTGTTGTTTAGATGGGATGAAAGTTGCCGAGCTTTTCTGTCTTCACTACTATTACCCTTGTCCGAGGCACTGCCTCTCTCTCTCCTGGAAGCTGCAGGAGTCCCCTAACAGACTTCTTCCACTGCTGCCTTTCATAGCAAGCAGAGTGATTTTTATTTTTTGTTTGTTTTTGGCAGCTGGCTAGAATGGGGATCTGAATCCTTGACCTTGGTGTTAAACCAGAGGGATTTTTAAAAATCGTAATCAGATAATCCACTCTCCTCCTTGAAACATTCTAGTGACTTACCATTGCTTTTAGATTGAAATCTAGATTCTTTTTGATTCTCTGGTTAGCAGGCTCCCACTCTTTAGTGGTTTGACATCTGCTGCCTACCCTGCCCACCTTCTGACCAGACCTCCTGTGTACATTTGTTCCCGTGCTCCTTGAACTCCAGCTTCTCCACCCTGTTTTCAGTGTGCCAAGCAGTCCAGGCTCTGTCTTGCTCTCTGCTGAAAATGCTCTTCCGCCTCACAGAGCTTCCTTCTTCCTCTGTCCCTGCAGTTACCTTACCTTCAATGCTCTAGTTTCCTGCAGCTGTAACCTCGGGCAGTATCAGTCTCTCTCCCTTGAATTGCACACCAACTACTAAGACCGTGGCATTCTTAAAGAATGGTCACGCTGTAATGAATATATTTTTAATGCAGTGCTCTGATTAATTGATAGCCATGCCTCCAGGGGTTGGCAAAGAAATTTGGCCCACTATGTGTTTCTGTAAAGAAAGTTTATGGGTACACAGCCACACCCACTCATTTACATATTGCCTGTGGCTGCTTTCTCACTATAGTAGCTGTAGTGAAGACCATATATGTTGTGCAAAGCATAAAATGTTTACCGTCTGGCCCTTTACAGAAAAAGGTTGCTGACTCCTGCTCTAAACTGAGCAGACATAGGAAGGGATTGGCCTGTCCTTTGGGAAAGCAGTTTATGATAATAAGATGATGTCATTGAGGCCAAAATGAAGATCATTTCTTTTCTCTCCCTAGCTAATGTTCTGTATGGGCCGCTCCACACCAAACAGGCAGTGAATATGTTTCTTGGAGCAGTGGAAGAAGCAAAGAAAGAAGGTGGCACAGTGGTCTCTGGGGGCAAGGTAAGGAGA